ATTGGACAGGCTAGCCGGGAAACCTTAAGGTAAAGCTCCCAAATGTCATTTCCTCGGAAGGAAAAAAAATTTTTGGGGTCATGTAGTACTCAAAATGGCATAAAGACGGACGAGTCAAAATCTCGGCCGTGCAAAAAATTCCCCGCCCCCTTGACGGCGGAAAGCGGGTCCCCTTCAAGGCCTGGGGGGGTTTCTACGCACCTTTTTCAGGTTTTTCCCAATTCTGCAACCCCTGACAGACCTACCAAAAGAGGAAACCCCTTTTGAGGGGAGTGTGATCAGGACGGCTTTTGTCTTTCTTAAGAAAAATTAACTCACCCCCAAAACCTTAGTTTCCCCTGATTTCCCCCAAGGGCATTTACTTGAGTGATGCCAGCAAAGTTGGCACGGTGCAGTCTTGTCACAGGAAACTAGGTAAAACAGCCTATTGCCTAGCTGCCGTGTCCTTACAAAAGGGGGAAGTCAATTATTCAGTGACGAGCTAGAAGCTTTAGCCATTGTATGGGCCCTGAGTCATTTTTGGGATTATCTATCATTTCCTATCAAGATTTCACAGATCATTTACCTTTTGGCCCTTTTTGTGTAAAAACCCTTTCCGGGAAAGCATTGCTCGGTTTTTCGCCACGTTCAATGACTAAAACCCCTGAAATTGCTATGCCCCAGGTAAGAAAATGTTGTAGCTGTGCCCTGTCGGGCATATAGCATTGTGAGTGTCGGCAATCTTTTCTTGTTTAGGATCTCGAGGAAACCCAAGCAGGCCCTTGGGTCCAGTCCTTCGTTTCCGACCAAGGAGGCGTTGACTTACAGGTCAAGTTCCCCTTTCCCCTGAAGGATTTAGTGGTCAAACCAAAGGGTACTTGCCGGTTGCACAGTGGTGGACCCCGGCGAACCCATATCCAATGGTGATACCAGGTCCCTGATCCCAAATCCATGATACCAGCATTTAGGTTGATCCACGATGTCCCGGTGTAGCCACCCCGGGGGAAGGACCCCATATCAAACAGGGCCAAATGAAATATTTTGGCCTGAATGGCAGTGGACATTTCCAAAACATGTACACGGGGTTGTTTTTTCCTACAGCAAAGGGTACCATTTCAGATCCTAACCCCATTTTAAAGTATCCCATTACAAAGGAAACCCGGGGGAGAACTTTGTCGACCCGTGATGAACTTTTCAAAAACCCCGGAGAAGGGGAAAAAAGCACCCGCTTGTAAAAGGTAGATAACTTGCGTGGGGACAGTGAATTAGTACCCTTCCGATAAAACCGTCGAAAAAGGTCGCTAGTGCTTTTGTGAGCATGTTGTTCTTCGTCATACTTGCCCCCCTGCCTTTTGTCAGACAATGGGTTGAGTTTATAAAGGCATAAACAGGATCTTTGCTCCAATTTTAACATTCACCAAGCGCCAGTACTCCACGCCACCCTGCGAGTAATGGGCTTGTGAACGTACAAATCGCAAAATCCTGGAGGGTCAGGGTAACCCTTTAAACCCAAATTTACAAAATGGGATGAGGCTACCCCCGATGTTTTGTGTACATTAATTCCCCCCTCAACGCTCGAAACGGTGAGACACCTCTTTTGTTTGTATGGCTATGACAAAAGGGTTTCCATATGAAATTTGTTGCTCCACCAGACCCCACATAACGAAACCCCCGTGTATTTAAAAATTCGGACAAACCCGTTGTCTTCCGTGGGTACGAGGAACCTTATGAAAGTACTGATAGGTTTACGTCTGAGCGCAATGCCCGCCCAAGGAAAGCAAAGTTTGGGAACAGGTGCAAAGTTTTGTTGTCAACCCAGTGCAGACCCAGGTATGCACAAAATTTTCCAAAATTTGTGGGGGGCCTTACCGTGTCCACGAAGTCCCTGGCAAAAAGTTCGAGGGAGGGAGATTGACGGGGAACTATCAAGGAAGCCCCCTTGATCACATGAAGTTGTGGACCATGTGCAGGGTGAAGCAGGTGGAGTACGTGCGTTGCAACGCCCAAACAACCCAATGCAGGGGGAAACCCTCTATCCCTTCTCCCCCTACTACTGTTTCGGAAGACGGCCCAGTAAGGCCCATACTTATGGCCTGGACCAGGAAACAGTACATTTCTGTGACATTTAGTACCATGATTGTTTACTCCTCGCTGTTTTGTAATTGTTTTTCTTGCAGAAATGGGTTTTTAAATGCGCACACATTGTATGCAGCGATAAGGAGTCAGAGTGGACAACTCATGTAATTTTGTAAAATTTTAGAAGGGTACCCCGAGTGTAATGAATTCCTGGATTAGTATTATTTTAGGTTTTGGCACCAGGTTTTTTTATAAAAAAAAAAAAAAAGCCTGTATTACGGTCAGGGCAGTGCTGCCCTCTGATCCATTCCACCTTTTGGGAAAAGTACTGTCGTCATTGTTTGCGATGTGAGGGTGCAAACAAAGTTCGTAGCGAGGGTCAACTTATGTTCAGCCCTGCGGCAACCGTATATAGAAAAATTTTAGTTCCCGTGCTGAGTTTCCGGGCTCTTCTCGTGAAAAAAGCGCGGGCAAAAACCCGTTTTCTCTTCCCTGGATGGGGGGGGTTTTTTTTTTTTTTTCTTTGCATTTTTTTGTCCAATTTTGATTTTTGTGAGCGAAAACCAGTCCCCCTGGGGTGCTAGTGTAAGTATTCCTTTTACTGCGGGGCCCCCAGTATTGTCCCAGGCGAGCGAGGGGGCGTGGCCGAGCAAATGTGACAGCCCCGTCTGTCAGAACCACACCTGCCGTTGCTCTGACGTTTTTTTTTCACGGCATTTAGGGCTGCCTCTGTAGGTCCTCGGTCAGTGGGAAGCGAGCCATCCGCCTCATCCAGGCCGCCCAATTGATGACACAAGTGCTTCCCCCCCACGGGTGGCTGCGGGCACTCCCTCACACGCCCCTTGTTCTCACCCATCCATTAAACCAAACTGTCCACGGGGTTTTTCATTGCTACCCTTTCTACCTTCATGGGACTAAACCGCTGTTTGCAGTAAAACAGCAATAACAGCAGTTCAAGACTAAAACAAAGGGAAAAATTTTTGAAATGTATTGTATGAACTGTAGGTCGTGCTACTTGCTGTAAACAATGGGACACTGACTGTGGCCACTTTGGGGCCATGCTTACGAAAAATGAGGATCTACTGTACTTTTATACATCTGACAATAAGAATTTTCAGCTCCATCTTAATCTCATGGGAACATTGTTAGTATATATGGTGGTGCATGGACTGTAGTTTAAGCCAATTCCATTGCTCAATTCAACCAAATCTTTGCTACACTGTTAATAAAACTACCCTATAAATTTCACAAATTCAGTGAATTGGCTAATTTTTGGCAAAATTAAAAAAAATTCAGTTTAAAAATTTGAGTCCAAAAATAAACAACATTTTATCTGTTTATTAATCACACTTCCAGGCCTCCCTCTATTACACTTGCCTTCCACTTCAAATACGTCACACAAAAACAAAAAATTTAACCTGTTTACCAGGAATAATTATTGGTCATGGTTTATGGCATCCAACTAATTGAACAGACCTAGTAAAAACCTATAAAACAGACCAGGAGATGGGAATGGGGTTTGGGAGAACCTTGCCTGTCCTCAGAAAAATCGACACAAAATCTAATACAGTGGACCCCCGGTTTACGATATTATTTCATTCCAGAAGTATGTTCAGGTGCCATTACGAACGAATTTGTTCCATAAGGAATATTGTGAATTAGATTAGTCCATTTCAGACCCCCAAACATACACGTACAAACGCACTTACATAATTGGTCGCATTCGGAGCTGATCGTAAAGCGGGGGGGTCCACTGTACTTCCAATAACTTGAGGCCGATTTCAAGCTACTGCCATTCCTGGAACCAACCAATATCATCTCTATTTTGATACTATGTCTTCGTATTCTAGCAAATGATACCAAGAAGCAGCCAATAAAACCATAAAAGCCATCCTAGAAAAACACCTCAAAATCAATATTTAAAACCAAGCACAAGTAAACTTTGTTTTTCCCATCATATACTGCTTGAGGCAGTATTTTTTTTATACTGTGTACACTCACTGTACAAATGTATGCACCTGTTATCTAAGCCAAAATTTACAGTTCCCATCTTATCCAAGTCCTAGGTAGTAGGTTGGTTGACAGCAACCACCCAGGGAAGTACTACCTTCCTGCCAAGTGAGTATACAACAGAAAACCTGTAATTTTATCTGAAGGCAGGATTGCTGCTGCCTTTTTTTTTTGTCTCATAAACATGCAAGATTCCAGGTTACATTTCGCTCACACTACACATGCATGTACAACATATATATATACACCCTTTTGGGTTTTTCTCTATTTTTCTTACTAGTTCTTCTTGTTTATTTCCACTCATCTCCATGGGGAAGTGGAACAGAATTCTTCCTCTGTAAGCATGAGTGTCATAAGAGGCATCTACAATGTCGGGAGCAAAGGGTCTAGTAACCCCTTCTCCTGCATAAATTACTAAATTTAAAAGAGAAACTTTTCATTTATTTTTTTAGGTCACCCTGCCTCAGCAGGATATGGCTGGTTGTTAAAAAAAAAAAAAAAAAGATCCAAGTGAACTAAATTCATGATGCAGAGCTACGTGCCAAACCCTGACCTCTATGACATAGTTCTATGCGATGGTCACTGAAAGAGTTAAATTATTAACAGTACAGTATTATTTACATGAAGCACTATAATCCCTGGGTGCCTATCATCACAATACTCAATTTCTCACCAATGAGGCTTTTAGTCATAAGTTACACACCATCAAAATAATTCATTATACATTTTGAGGTATCTTATGAGTATTCTAGCTTCATGTCTTGGCCTATTCTAGTCTTAATAAAATTTCAAATTTTCCTGTAAGGAGTGCTGATGCAGGTGAAGGGCTCTTGATCAAAGGAATTGGTACCACCCTTTCATTCCTTGTATTAAACCTGATTGCATCCCCTTCCTCAGGCACTGTACAACCCTTGTGGGTTTAGAGCTTCCTATGAATATAATAACAATTAATACAAACCTGTTGCTTTAATTGGTTTGCCTCCTCTTTCATATCATCAATATGCTTCATATATTCCCTCAGTTCCTCTTCTTTCTTCCTACTAATTTTCTGATTAAGAGAGAACTTTGCTCGTAGTGTCGCTAAGTCAGTGCGTGACTCCTTCACAAGATTGCTCAGCTCTTCAATCTGATCAGAAGGTAGATAAAGACTGATGTTACACAAGTTTCATAACCAGTACAATATTAATCTGACATAAACAGCCTCAAATTATATCTCTTAAGAAAATGGAAATAAGTTTGAAGTAAAGGATGAACACTGGACATTATGGTGCTCTTCAATTTCTAGGACTGGGAACTACCTTAGTCGGCAAAGTTATAATTACTGAAGACGTATCCAGAGGATGATCATACAATAAAAATTGATATGTTAAATTGTTTGATACTTCATTTAATTTAAAAAAAAAAAAATCAGATTGAACACATTAGCAGCCTTGGACTTAATGATGAACCATTTAGTAAAACCTGACAATAAAAAAAGTAGTGACTGTACTCTGAAGGATGGGCAGGGACATTGCAGTATAGTTAGTCATTGGAATTGTGATGTCTATGCTCTTCTAGCAAGACAGTTATTTGAGTACATTTAAAAAACTTTATGGTATGTCACTTACTTCTGCTTCTTTAGTAATAAGACATTTTTCCATTTCTGTGACAGATGAAATCTTGTCTTTAAGACTTGCCATTTCTACTTCCATTGAAGCCTTTTCCATCATTAAGTTTGTTGCCTATAATATTAATAGAGTAAGTTTACAGATCAAAAGTGACAAGATACATCAGACTAAATGCAGCTTTTATTACAGTGTTAGCATATACAGAATGTTTACAGTATAATACCTAAAAGACCCTAAAATTTATATATACAGTATTTAAAACTACATAATGAAAAAATGTAAACGAGGGTAAATTTTCAAAATTTATGTTGTAACCACCTTGACTCAATTACACATCCTTTACTGTCCTTTAAAACGAATTTTGTTTTACAACATTTCCTTTCCTTTGTTTACAACTGATTCTTCATTTTAGCTTGTACTTATGTATTCTTGGGCTATTCTTTTGGGAAGTTCACATTGTCTTACTTTCAAAGAGAGAGTCAAGCTGCCTTACCCTTGCTTATGTAAACTATATCATACATGCAAGCACAAAAAGCAACTATGCAGAAATCCTTGTAACAAGAAAAGAAACTGTCATTGTACGCTCAATGTTCTTTTTAATAAACTATAGCTAATTTAAAATCTTCATGGGGAAAGCGGAACAAAGGTCTTTCCCCTGTAGGCTGTGTGGTCGTAAGAGGTGACTAAAATGGCGAGAGCAACGGGCTAGTAACCCCTGCTCCTGTATATATTAGTTAAAGTTAAAAAGAGAAACTTATGTTTTTCTTTTTGGGCCACCTTACCTTGGTGAGATATGACAAGTGGGTTAAAAGAATAATTTAATTTTTGTAAATGACCATTTGATACATGCATGTAAGTCATATTACTTTGGTTACACTTTAGTCAATGTGGAATTTGCAAAGTTCCAGATTGCATCCCTATCTTTTACATGTGCACCTATAGCATAAAATAAAAAACACTTACCTCTTTCAACTTGTTGGAAAGATTTTCCCTGGAAACTTGCAGATCCCCTTGTACTACATGAAGCTCTTCCTTCACCCTGGCAAGCTCCTTGCTTACCTCAACAACTTCTTCTACCTTCAGAGTCAAAGCTCTTTTTCAGTGTCTCAATTGCCTCATCCTGCTTTAGCTGTTGTTGTTTAAGATGCCTATGACATTTTGCAGGCTTTCAATTTCTATCTTCTGGCTCTCTAGGGTTTTCTCTGGGTCTCATTGTCATCCTCGAATGATTTCAGCCGTTCTTGATCTTCCAAATTTAAAGAAAAATTTTATCTTTTTTTCGAAAACCTTTCATTTTAGATTTCAAAAGATAATTTTGTCTGCAGCGTTTCTTCTCGTATCATTTTTGGGTAATTTGGATGACAAGTTTCATTCAGGGAAAAAAATTTTTTTTTCCCCTTTCCCTGTACTCAGTTTCTCTCTTGTCAATTTCTCCATTTTTTCACTTGCTGTTTATTTATTTCAAAAAAGATCTTTTTCTGTAAGCAAGTCTTTATGTTAGCTTAAAACTTTTAAATTTCTGACCCATTAGTTTCTTATCTGATTTTTTTGGGCCACCGAGATGATAAAGTTCGTTTGGGAAAAAAGTTTTGTTATCTGACCTGAGAGCAAATATATCTGAATTAAATTTTGTCAATTTCTTCCTGTTGTTGTTCCTAATTTCTGTAAGCTGATCTTTCTTTATAAGCCGTTTCTGCTTTAACTTCAAATGTCAATTTCAGAGTTCATTAACTTTTATCTGAAAACATGCGGGGTTTAACTGAGAAAAAAAAATTTTCATTTGGAGGAATTGTTTGTAATCTGGTCCTGCAGGGTGAAACTCTGTTGTCTTTTTTTCCATCTTCTTATTTTTTGTTCATTTATTTTATTAAGTTGATTTTTTCCCCAAAAGGGTTTCCTTTTAAAAGATATCAGTTTTTTAAATTTTCAAAGACTTAAATATCCGTTCATTTTTTCAATTTTGTTTTTAATTTTTCCCCATATTTTTTTTGATTTGCATTTTCTCCTCTCATGTCTCATTTCACCTTCCAGTTTTTGTTGCCCAAGATCATAAATTTTTTTTAGAGGCCCTTTTCCCCAACATTTTTCGAATTCCTCTTTTTCTCTTTCCAGTATTCTTTTCCCCCTTTAGGCATTATTCTTTTTCTTTCAAAAAATTTTTTCATTTCTGAAAATAGTTGTGCATTTGTGGATAATTGCGTTTATCACTGAGAATAAATTTTCTGTTCTAACAATTCTTGTTTCTCCTTTTTCAAAGCTTCTTTATCAGAGGCAGTTTATTATTTTTTTTTAAAACATTTCTTTTCGCTTGTAGTTCTTTCTTCTCGATAATAAAACATCTTTTCATTCAACATCACACTTTTTCTGAAACAAATCTTCATTTGTTTTACTAATGTCTCCTTTCAGAAATGAGTTTTTCCCTTTTCTTTCTCAAATTCCTTTATCTTTGTTCTAAACTTTTTGTTTAGATATTTCAACCCCATCATTCAATGCAAGTCCTCTCAAATTTTATCATCTTTCTGGGTAATAAAGCTTCCTTTTCCCTACAAATTTTTCTCTTTCCTTTTCAAAGTGTTTTGTTTTTGACTTAATTTTTCTTTTTCTGAAAGTAATTCTATCTTATCCTTCAGATGGCATTATTTCTGATTGAACCTCTCTTTTTCTGAGATAATTCCCGGTTTTTTTTTTTTAAATTTGATACTTGAGCAACAATGGCTTGTAGTTTACGTTGTTCTTGGGAAGCAGTCAATAGCTCTTTCTTTTGGGCACAACTCCATATGAAAAGACAAAATTTTTCCTTTTCAGCTTTCAGTACTTCAACTTGAGTAGCAAGCTCTGTCCCTTTGATCAATTTGTGAACCTTAAATTCCAGCTCCTTCTCTAGGATTTGAATGTTTTTTTTAACTGTTCTAGTTCTTTTAAATCCTCACTGTTAGTTGCAAGTGAAGTCTTTAAGTGTTGGTTTTCAGCAATAAGCATTTCATTCTGTAGCACTATGTCTGTGTTCCTTGAAATGAGTGTTTTATTTCCTGACATCACTTCCTCTAATTTCTGGGATGTTGTCTGAATCTGGGTGTCTAAGTCTTGCTTAAGAGCTAAGAGGTCTTCATTTTCCTTTAAGAGCTCTTCTTCCTTTTTATTCAGAGTTTCCGTGTTAGATTTGAGGACATTATTTTGACCATGAGTTCAGTGACTTCATTCTTTAATTCATCAAGCATAACTGTCAGCTCCTCATTCTTGCTGATGAGCAGATCATTCTTGGAGGCTAATTCATCATTCTTTGAACTAAGTTCTTCATTTAAGAAAGCTAGTTCCTCAGACTTATTGTTGCTCTCCTCAAATTCCATATTGAAATTTTCTTGTTTCTCAAACATCTTCCCTAGTTGTTCCTTCAGACAGTTGTACTTCTCTTGAAGATTATTCCGCTCCTCCTGTAATCTGAGGAAAAAAAGGATATTTGAAAATGTATTATCTTAATAGGTGTTCCATCTGCTATCAAACTCCTGTCTGATTTTTTTTTTTTTAACACGTCGGCTGTTTCCCACCGAGGTGGGGTGACTAAAAAAAAAAAAAAAAAAAAAAAAAAAAAAAAAAAAAAAAAAAAAAAAAAAAAAAACAACCTTCATCATTCAACACTTTCGCCATCATTCATACATAATCAAAGTCATTGCAGACGTGCTCAGATAAGACAGTTTAGATGTCCCTCCAAACAGCCAATATCCCAAACCATCCTTTAACCCCTTGACTGTTGCAACCCAAATCCTGCGGTGTCTCCTGGTGTTGCAAAATTTCTGGAGAAAAAAAAAAAAAAAAAAAAAAAATTCAACAAGTCGGCCGTCTCCCACCGAGTCTTTTTCCCAATTGCAATGACACCAAAAGAACAAAATTTGATGAAAACTGTCGGAATTACGCTCTTCCGAAGTTAGCGACCTTGGCGATATTTATTAATGGGCGATTTCGCCCACTTTGAGCCCTATTTGTGCTAATTGCATTGTTCTAGTCGACCAAACTCATAGCTATTTCTTTAGAACTCCATTTTTTCTATCGATTGAGTACAAGAAACTGCCCATTTACCGATGTCAACTACCCAATAATGTGGTCAGAAATTTGCAATTTGCCAATTTCACGAAAAATTAAAAAATACGTATGACAATTTCAAAATATGGTCCAGAATGAACAATGCAGACATTCCTGGCTCTAAAATAACATTTTCTTTGTTCATCAGCCACATCTCCAGGCCCCTCTGATATTACTCTTGCTTTCTATTTTGAATTTTTATTCAAACAAAAAATAGAAGATTTATTGTTATGCTGACTACTGCAATATTGTAATAATTGTATAAATAATGTCAATCCATTCATGACTGCATATTAGAATGGCTACTTGGACATTTATTGGAAAATGACATCATTTGTTACTTTTGAACATCGGCAAAAATCAAACATTTTCCCTACTTTGAGCTCCATTTCATAGTAAAACCAATCAAAATCACCTCTATTTCTATAATATGTTTTCCATTCTATCAAATGAGACCAAGAAAACGAGAATACAACCATAAATACTATACGAAAATAAACCACAAACTCGGCATTAAAAAAAAAGTAGGAGTTTTTTTTTTATCATTATGCACTGGGTGCGCAGGATTTTTTTTTATAAGGTGCACACCGACCACACAGACCCATTCTCTCACATGTGGGCCTACAAGCTTTCTCATGCTTGATTTGAAGCCGCTAGAATTTATGAGTACATATGAGTATATATTTTAGGTAGTAGGTTGGTAGACAGCAACCACCCAGGGGGGTACTACCGTCCTGCCAAGCGAGTGTGATACGAAAGCCTGTAATTGTTTTACATGATGGCAAGATTGCTGGTATCCATTTTTCTGTCTCATAAACATGCAAGGTTTCAGGGACGTCTTGCTACTTCTATTACACTTAGGTCACACTACACATACATGTACAAACATATATAATATATACACCCCTCTGGGTTTTCTTCTATTTTCTGTACTAGTTCTTGTTCTTGTTTATTTTCTCTTACCTCCATGGGGAAGTGGAAAAGAATTCTTCCTACGTAAGCCATGTGTGTTGTATGAGGCAACTAAAATGCCAGGAGCAAAGGGCTAGTAACCCCTCTCCAGTATATATTACTAAATGTAAAAGAGAAACTTTCGTTTTTGATTTGGGCCACCCTGCCTCGGTGGATACGGCCGGTGTGTTGAAAGAAAGATACGGTGGCTCGTAAGGCATATATATATGACCGAAACAGTCAAAGGGTTGACCGAAACAGTCAAAGGGTTAAAGTGCAGTCATTGTACTTAACACTTTCAGGACTCGAGTCCGGCTAACCGTTTCTCAGAATCCCTTCACAAAATATTACCCTGCTCATACTCCAACAGCTCATCAGGTCCCAAAAAGCCATTCAGAATATGTACAGTATATCCAATATGGTTTCAGCTATTCAATATGCTCACATTCTCAATGTCACAAACATATATAAAAGAATATAATCTTATTCTCAATATCTGTAATCCTCCCCAACCATTAAAACACTGACTCTGTCCCCTTAATGTTATATGCTAGAATCCTCATTACCTCATTACCGATGTGTTAAATAAAACCCATATAGCATTTTTTTTTTTAACAGTTGGCCGTCTCCCACCGAGGCAGGGTGACCCAAAAATAAAGAAAATCCCCAAAAAGAAAATACTTTCATCATTCAACACTTTCATCTCACTCACACTTAATCATTTTTTGCAGAGGTGCTCAGAATACAACAGTTTAGAAGCATATACGTATAAAAATACACAATATATACCTCCAAACTGCCAATATCCAAACCCTCTCCTTTAAAGTGCAGGCACTGTACTTCCAATTTCCAGGACTCAATCCGGCTATATAAAAATAACCAGTTTCCCTGAGTCCCTTCACTAAATATTACCCTGCTCACACTCCAACAGCTCGTCAGGTCCCAATACCATTCGTCTCCATTCACTCCTATTTAACATGCTCACGCACGCTTGCTGGAAGTCCAAGCCACTCGCCCACAAAACTCCTTTACCCCCTCCCTCCAACCTTTTCAAGGACAACCCCTACCCCGCCTTCATTT